GGACGGACAGCCCCTCTGGCTGTGGTGAGGCCGCAGTGCCAGCAGCTGGGGGGGCACCCGCCAGTGTCTCAGGGAGAGCAGCCGCTCCGCCCTCCCGGCGGGGCCGTGGGAAGCTCCTGCCCTCCGCTCAGCCTCAGATTCCTCCCGTGAAAGGGGCTCGGGTTAGGAGATGCTCCTGAAGCCCTTCAGCCAGCCAGCGCTCAGCCACTGCGAGCTGTCGCCGTCACCTGTAAGGCTCACAGCCAGGGGTTACCGGCAGCATCAGCATTTCCTCCTGCGTCGCTCCTCCTTCCTCGCCTGCTAAGGTGCATGCTCTGCCAGGAAACTGCTCGTCGTTAACATGCCTGGAATAGCGTGTGGCAGGACCGAGGGGCTCAGCAAAAGCTCCTCCAGTCGCCCCTCGGAGGCGTGCTCCCCAGCCTGTTTGCTTGTGGCTAGGGCATCCTAGTTATCTTGTGATGAAAGCCACTCAGCGCCCCCCACCCCCACCCCCAAAAAATTCCTGAAGCTGCGGCACTGCTTGACGGGAGGGGAGCCCCTCAACGCAGAGGTGCGGGAGCAGTGGAAGAGGCAGACGGGGCTGGACCTGCACGAGGGCTACGGACAGACGGAAGTGGTGCGTGCAGGGGGCGCAGCTGCGCCCCTGGAGTGTCCCCGTCATGCTTGAAGTCCTTAGGGCGCTCCTTCCCCTGCCAGTAGTTACCAAAACTTCTGAATTACCCGGTCAGGGCTGGCGAGGGGAATTGTGATGGTCCCTTATAGGCTTCCTGTCTCCTCCCACTCAGAAGTTTCAGAGGGTGAGGGGTTGCAGAGGTTCAGAACTGTGCAGCTCATCTTTCTTTATTATTATTGTTGTTGTTGTTATTTATTGATTGATTTTGAGAGAGGGAAACATGGACCTGTTGTTCCATTTAGTTGTGCATTCATTGGTTGATTCTTGTATGTGCCCTGACCGGGGATCAAACCCACAACCTTGGGGTATCGGGAGGATGCTCTCCAAGTGAGCTACCCGCCAGGGCTCCGCAACTCATCTTCCCATCACACTGGGAAGGACCCAGAGAGCCCCAGTGAGGAGTTCATCCAAGGTGCCTGTCAGGTACCTCAGCCTGAAGGAGTGGTCGTCACCTGTGGGCCTCCAACCTGCAGTGCCAGCGGCATGTGGGAATTAGGTAGAAACACAAATTCTCAGAATCCCCCTCCCCAGACCTACTGAGCTAGAAACTCTGGGATGGGCCCAGAACCTGTGTTTTAACAAACCCCAGGTGATTCTGACAAACACTCAAGTTTGAGAACCACCAGTCTAAAGTACTTTAGAATATGAGCTTGCATACTGGGAGAGCTGGTGCTTGCATACTGGGAGAGCTGGTGCTTGCATACTGGGAGAGCTGGTGCTTGCATACTGGGAGAGCTGGTAAAAACCGAGTCCCGGTTGCACTGTCGTAATATAAACAGCTGCTGAAAATGAATCTTTGCCTATTTATATAGAATGTGTTCCCTACAGGGCATCATTTGTGCCAATCTGAAAGGACAGGAAATTAAACCGGGCTCGATGGGGAAGGGAGTCCTGCCCTATGATGTCCAGGTGGGTGACACCGACTGGTTCAAAAAGAATGTTTCCTGTCGTTTTCCACTGACCATTATATAACGATTCCTAACCCATTTTCACTTTGTGAAAAAAAAAACTTAAAGAACCTAAACTGCTTCTTTCATTTTAGATTATAGATGAAAATGGCAACATCCTGCCAACTGGCCAGGAAGGAGACATTGCCCTCGCACTGAAGCATACCCGGCCCTTCTCTTTCTTCTCAGAATATGTGGTAGGAGAATGAGAGCTGCTCTGCTTGAATAGAAGAGCTGGCTAGGGATGCAGACAGACTGGGGCCCAGGTTTACCACCATGTTGGCATGGAACCTTGGGCAAGTCCCAGCCTCCGAGTCTACTCAGCTGTGAAGGGGGGAATAGTTTCTGTCTCCTCGGAGTTTGTGAATATTAAAGTGCGCGGCTAGAAACCGGTGCGGTGGCTGCGGGGGTGGGGGGCGAGGGCCCTAGCGGTGAGAGATTTACTTGTTATACTCTCGGGCCTTCGGTGTTCTATACTATAAACTACCTTCTTAAAAATTCGCTTCTTTGCCCTAACCGGTTTGGCTCAGTGGATAGAGCGTCGGCCTGTGGACTGAAGGGTCCCAGGTTCGATTCCGGTCAAGGGCATGTGTGCAGGAGGCGGCTGATCGATGTTTCTAACTCTCTATCCCTCTCCCTTCCTCTCTGTAAAAAATCAATAAAATATATTTTTTTAAAAAATTCGCTTCTTTTAGAATTAGGATGTGCAGTGTATTAGTCACTTCATGGGCGCCAGGCCCCTTTTTCTGTTCTGACCGAATTAACCCCCCGGTCATCTTTGATTCCTAGGACAATCCAGGGAAAACTGCCGCCACGATAAGAGGGAATTTTTATGTCACTGGAGACAGAGGCGTGATGGACAGCGACGGGTACTTCTGGTTTGTTGGCAGAGCTGATGACGTCATCATATCCTCCGGGTTGGTACCTTTGCCACAGCCAGAGAGTAGCCCCTCGTCAGGGGAGCCTTTGACTCGGTGGCGCAGGCTGTAGCTGCCTTCTCTTCCTCCAGGTACCGCATCGGGCCCTTCGAAGTGGAGAGCGCGCTGATTGAGCACCCAGCAGTTGTGGAGTCGGCCGTGGTCAGCAGTCCAGACCCCATCAGGGGAGAGGTAGCGTGAATGCCGCTAATGAAAGCAGCAACTTCATACTTCCAAGTTCTATCCATTTGGCCACTCTAAAGAGTGAATCCAGAGTAGCATGTAATTCTCTTATGAGGCACATACGTGGCAAAAACGTACACTGGCATCCACATCCCACATGAATTGTGTCCCAAAGGGGATGTATTAGGATTCTTTTGGTGGCAAGTGACAAAAATTCAACTCAAACTGACTTTAAAAAAAAAAAAAAAAAGGAATTTATTGGCTGACCACAAGTGAGGCCTAAGGTACAGCCACACCCAATGGTTCACATGCAGTTGGCAAAACCTAGCCTCTCCATTTACTGGCTCTGCTGCTCTTCATGGTGCCTCCATTTGGGGAGGGGGGGGCCTTTCTACTCAACAGCAGCCAGATATGCACAGCTTCACCACGTCAGGGAAGGGGACGGCTTCCCGGCCAAGTCCCAAGCAATTCCCAGAGTCCATGTGCCTGTCTTAGATCACATCTCTCACCAAAGTGGTCCGGGTGGTGATGCGGACTGGCTAGACCTGGATCAGATGCTGGTCATTGGAGGCAGGAGTTAGAGTCAACGCCCCCAGAGGTTAGGGTAACCCTCCTCAGGAAAGTCAGGGCACTGTTACCAAAAAGGGGGCCACAGATACTGCACAAGCAAGGGCTGCGGTTCCTACTGTATGCACATTGTCATGGCCTCAGAATGTATTTTCTCACAGAAACAATGCAAACAGGAGATGTTGGCCAGGTTGCCAAACAAGCTCCACAAGCCGCCCTAGGACCCGATGACAGGAAACTTGGGGGGTGACTGCAGTGGCTCAGCTCTAGGAGGAAGCGCGTGGGATGGAAGGGAGGTTCCCTTCCTCACAGACGTTTCCTGCACTCAGTAGGGCAACATTTCAAAATCACTTTGCCTGTCAGTATCCTCCCACAGCTCCTTCTCTACCCTCACATGCAATGCCCTCGCAGTGCCCCTGGGTCCCGTACCCGTACACCCTATACCACTTCCACACTCAGGGGGTTCCTTTCTCCAAAATATTGTTCTCCTGCCACCATCTTCTCATCCTCTCAACATAACTGATTTCAGCTGAACTTCAAAAGTAAACACGAATTAGAGTCAATGTGTGAATTAATAATTTAAACTATACTAAACTATACTTGCTAACCCTCATAATTACCTAACTGGTGGATCTTCAATAGCACTCAAAGAGAAGCGAAAAATAGCAGGCAAGCAAGACCTTTCAAAGGTAGCGCAGTCTTCCCCGGATTCCATCTCCCAGCGAACACCATCCCCCCTCACCCTCCCAAGCCCCTTTCACACCACATTCTCCAGAGCCTCCGTGTGTCCCACTCGTGCTCCTAGCGGTGCAGGTTTGATGGAGTGAGAGGGCATCTGTGAGACTGCCATGCAAATACACGTGTGACATGGAAGTAAGAAACCTTCAGCTTTACTGAACCCCTGGCTCACGCTCACAGACCACAGACCGTTCCCCTGGGTCACACCTCCAGCCTCGCTGTGCCCACGCTTGTTCAGACTCGGGAATCTGGCTTCTCCGCACTCCTCACTCAGCTGCTGCTAGCGAACCATGAGTGCTGTGTCCTGATTGGTTCCCAACTCTGGATGTGTCTGAAAACAGACTTAGTGATATCAATTCATTCTCCTCCTGCAGGTAGTGAAAGCTTTTGTTGTCTTATCTGTGCCCTTCAAATCATCTGACCCAGAGAAATTAACTCTTGAACTTCAAGAGCATGTGAAAAAAATAACCGCACCGTACAAATATCCAAGAAAGGCAAGTATAAGTTAAGTGTATGTGACCAAACAAGGGTCTAAGCTAGTAGGTGTATAGATCTTACTAGCTTTTTAATTTTAACTTTTTAAAATCTTTATTGTTGAAAGGATTACATATGTCCCCTTTTTTCTCCTCATATACAGAAGATATGCATTTCAATTTGTTAAGCTCTAGGACAGTGGTTCTCAACCTTGGCTGCACATGAGAATCACCTGGGAATCTTTTTAAAATCCTGACTTCTGGGCCTCATCCTCCGGAAATTCTGTTTCTTTGTTACTAATGTTGTGGCCCCATCCCATAACAAAGAAACAGAATTTCCAGAGGATGAGGCTCAGAAATCAGGATTTTAAAAAGATCCCCAGGTGACTCTAATGTGCAGCCAAGATTGAGAACCCCTGGCATAGAGGGTCTCTTTGCCACACCATAATGGCCTCCCATTTCCCATGAGGTCACAGATAAAAATACTAGTAGCTCCTGTTTGAGTATTTGCTGTAGCCAGGTGCTGCTCCAACTCCTGATCCGCTTTAGATCATTACTTTTTAGATACTGTGTGGAGAGAGTACCACAACCCCCATTTTCCAATGGGCAAGCAGAGGCTTAAAAAGGTTAGCTAACTTGCCCAAGGTCACAGCCAGACAGTGGCAGAGCCAGGACTCAAGCCCAAGACCTCAACTCCGGGTTTCTCAACCTCAGCGTTATTGGCATTCCAGGCCTGATAATTCTGTGTTATGGGGGTGGGGGAAAAATGGTGGCAAATTGTTCCTAAAGATAGTACCTGATTCAGCTACCAGAGTGCTCTTGGGCCTATTATACTCGCAAATTCAAAGCACAGGCCTTGTACAGACAGCTGGGACAAGTCCAATGGAATCCAGTGTCTCATGTTTTGGTGATTAGGTGGAGTTTGTTGAACAGCTCCCGAAGACCATCACGGGGAAAATCAAGCGCAATGTCTTAAGAGACCAGGAGTGGGGACGGACATAGCCGGATGGAGGGAGCGTGAAGTACCGACAGGGCGGCTTTCTGTTTCCTGATGGTTCAGTGACAACTCTCTTATGCGTAAGATTTTTCCTGAGTCTGTGTTTTGTAGTTAGTCAAAAAATAAATAAAAATCTAAATATTGGAAGAATATTGTTATGATAACTAAACCGACACAGGCAATGATTATGACTTATAGTGTTTAAAATTGCAGGGCTCAAATGATTGCTTGGAAATACACAGTGGACAATGAATTTATTTTGTGCCTGATTAAACAAAAATAAAGATTAGAAGTATTCAAAGAGAAATGTTCAAGACAGAATTCTGCTTAACATTTTTATATATTATTAATTCTTTAAGAGGGATTAAAACATTAATGTTTAAGTGAGAAATAAACATGTAATTCAAAAGCCAGTAAGTAAATTTAATTAAGTACTATATTACTAGTTATCATTCTGAAGCAAATTCACTATAAAGTATCTGAAACTTGGACCACTTAAAAGTAATTATTAAAAATAAATTTTTGTTTCTTTACTTTTTAAGACAATGTAGTAACTATTATTCATACACTAGAGGCCCGGTGCATGAAACTCGTGCACTGGGTAGGGTCCCTAGGCCTAGCTGGCAATCAGGGACCATCAGGTCCCCTGTCTCCCTGCCTCCACCTTCCCTTGCTCCCTCAGCAACCCACCGATGCCACCAGTCACCCACCATGTTCCACGTTGCCCCCTGGTGGTCAGCACATGTCATAGCAAGCGATCGAACTTCAGGTCTCCCGGTTGAACTCCGAGGGGACACTGCATTATTTGCCTTTTATGTATATACTAGAGGCCCGGTGCACAAAAATTTGTGCACTCGGG